GAGCTCCAGAGGCTGCAGCTGGAGCAGTTTTCCTGCATATGTGACAGGCTAAAAATCATAGAATCACAGACTGTCTCAAATTGGAAGGGACCCCAGGGATCATCAAATCCATTACAAGAGCATGGAGTGACAGGACAAAGGGGAATGGCTTAAAGCTGAAAAAGAGAAGGTTTAGATGGGATATTAAGGAGAAATCCCTTCCCTGTGAGGGTGGGGAGGCCCTGGCACAGGTTGCCCAGAGAAGCTGTGGCTGCCCCATCCCTGGAAGTGTCCAAGGACAGGTTGGATAAACTTGTAGCAACCTGGGCTGGTGGAAGGTGTCCCTGCCCATGGCAGGGGGTGGAACGAGGTAATTTTTAAGGTCTGTTGCAACCCAGCCCATTCCATGATTTTGAGGTAAGTCCAAATGTCACTGCTGCTGATGGATCGGGAAAGGAATATGCTGCATTTGGTCCTGGTTTTTGTGCAAGTTATTACATTTTATTTCTGATTTTCTCTGTGCTTCCCCTGTCCTTCACTGCACCAGTGGGATCACCTCGAGGTGTGAAGATCCAGGTCAGGCAGGAACGAGGTGACACCACAGGGACACTCCAGGTCATTCCTGTGACTGATCCCTCCAGTCGCTTTTTCCTAGAAATACATCACAGCAGTTTGGAAAAAAGGGATATTAGGAGGATGTTGGTAGCACAAAACTGCCCTGCAGAGCATTAAAAATGACTCCAGTATGTTCCAGGACTCCACCATTGCCACCTCCAGAAGCCCTTTTTACATGTGGCTTGCCCAAGGAGGGCAAATGTAGCTGGTTTTTCCAGCAGGAATGAAAGCTCTCAACCATAACACTGCCTGGTTTGTTGGGATTGAGCACCTGGAGCCCAAAATTCCGTAGGATCAGCACAGAATTCTGAAAAAAAAACCAACAGGGAAATAGGGAATGGGGCTGTTGGGAAGCAGCTCTCTGAGCCCAGAGGATGGGAGGCAGTGGTGTGAAGTGGTTCCATGTAGGAATGGCTTTCCAGAGGGCAGGATTCTGCTGTAAGAAGGAAAATTCCTTATTGCTGACATAATGGTGAAACAAATCACTGGTGAAATGGTGGAGAAAACTAGATAATAGCAACTCTCATTTAAATAAGACTGGCCAGGGCATAATGGATCATTAAGCTGGAAAGTGATGATCTGTCACCCAAAATATGCATTTGTGTTTGAGTTTGTTTCCTTAACTTTTCTTTAGATTCTGGAGAGTTGGAAGCTTTAGGAGAAGTTGTTACAGAATTCCTGGTCTGTAGGGCCACGTGAGAGTGGCTGAGCAATTAATCCATAAAAAGTGTGTGAGAAATTTGCCCAGGATTCAGGGGGGTCACAGCCCTCACTGAGGGTACATCCTCATAAAATAAGGGATATATTTATAACATAGGGATTGGGCTGATGTTGATGATGGAGACTTGACACTGGTTGAATGTTTAGATGAGAGCATGGAGGTGATAAATCATATTTGCTACTGCATGCAAATGAATTACAGGCAGGATTGATTAATAAGAGGAAAAATCACTATCACCTGTAAAGAATTCTAAACTTTAATTACCAAATTCTGTTTAAGTGCTACATGGATCCTGCTAGATTTTACCTTCCAAACCTTCTCTTTAACAGTCTTCACAAGCAGAATTTAACTAGTGCATAATGAATACCCTGTGTTGTAACGTGGATTTAGACAGGATTTAAAAGGATCTTGCACTGCTGCACATTTCCTCACTGGTTACAGCAAGACTCATTCCCACTGTTGATTCAAAAAACATGGGAATATTTAATCCTTATTTTCCACCTATGTACATTTAATTATTGCTTTTTGAAAGATGTAGGGAGCTGATCTTGTTAGGGAGCAGTTCAGAATCAGCAGGTTTGGGTTCCCTGTCACCATCCGACATCATTTCAGGCAACATAATCAGCTAAAATCTCTTATCTCGGTGTGTTACACATTCACCCACCAATGGTTTGAGTCCTGGCGTTGAGTTTGCAGGGAAAGCACCTCGTGAACTGCACGGAATGTTTGTTTTGAAGCCGTCCCATCTCTTCCTATCAGATCTGGAACCGACGGTTCCCGAGGCTTGAGATCCGGGGCACGAAGCGTTGCCGGCATTCCTTCGCTCCCAGATTTATTATCCCCCCGGAATATTTTGGAGCTGAAGTTGTTAATGTTTGGTGGAATGCGGAACAGCCAAGCCAGTCCTGCAGTAGATCCCAAAAACATCTTGATTAAATTAGAGAGGGGAGGTGGAGGGGAGGGAGGGCTGGAACAAAGAGGCCGTTGAGGAGCTGGCACGGGGTGCTGGGAATTTATGTGGCAGCAACCTACAGCTCTGCACATGGTGCAGATCCACCCTGTTGTAACAAAGGAGTAGTGTGCATGTGTGTGTGTGTGTGTGTTTGTGTGCACACATGCTCAGAGCAGCTTCTTTGGGCTGCAAGAAAGGTTTGAGAAGGGCAATTTGAGAGGAACGTGCTGAGGAAGCAGGTTTGCACTGCTGTCACCATCCTGGAAATGACTTCCTTGGTGCTGTTGATTATTTTCCTGATTTTTCAGGGAAGGGGAAGCCTGTGGTTGTCACCACTCGTTGCACACCTTGGCACAGCACAGGTGAGGAGGTGCTGGTGCCCCACTCTCCCCATTCCCATGGGCTCCTGTGCTGTGCCATGTTCCAAGAGCATCAGTGATGATCCAACTGGATCATCTCCCAAATCGAGGGGAGAGAAGGGTTTAGCCCTGATGGGATAAGGAGACAAGGTTTGTGGGGACCTCCCCTCCCCACACACACAGTTTATTAGTAGAGCCAGTTAGATAAGATTTTGTTGCACAAGCCCTTTAAGGGAGGTGCAGATAGACTCTGGTTGTAGGCAGAGCCGAGCATGGATAAATAATAATAAAACTGATCAGATTTACCTTCATTTATTGCTTTTTCCTGGAAGATTGTTTACAAATGGACTTATTTTAAGCTCTGTCTGCCTTTGCAAAACATACAGAATAATAGAGAACAATATAGGATTTGGTGCTGAAATAGAAATTGATACTGGAGACATTGGCAGCTGCAAAGACTGTTGGTTCTGTTTTCTTGACATGCATTTTCTTTGTAAATCCATGCCACATTCTGCCATGATCCTGGAATCTCTCATGCCTGTATGGCAAGGGTTGGGATCAGCAGCCTTGAATCTGGCTGCACTTTGAACTCCATGGGAAGTCAGGGAAATTCTCTTTGTGCATCACCTTCACCTCCCTCTACAGCACTCGAGCAACAACTTCTTTCCCATTTTCTTCTGACTTTCCCAAGGAAACCCTTCTGCTTCCTCCAATGTATTTTCATTTATCAGGGTCAGCCAGCTCAGCTTTTTTTCCTCCTAAACCTTCTTTTTTTTTTTGGTGGAATCAGTGCAGGGAACAGCATTACATTAACAGTGCTCATTGCATAGCTCTTGTTTTCATGGCACCTATGATCTATCTCACCTTCATCTTAATGGAAGGTTTTTTCCAGTCCAGCAATCCAGCAGCTTCTTTCTTGATTGCTCATTTGGAAGCACAAAGAGTTTTGTGTTTTGACAGTTTGGCACTTGCGTGTCTCCTTTTCTTCTTCAACCCGAATATACATTAAAATATTCATTTTAATCTATTTCGCATAATTGATGCTTCAGCAGTTTGTGCAGTGAATGAGCAATTTTATGCAAGAAATAAGCAAATGGGCTGAAAAGAGCCTGGTGAAAGGCAGATGATTGGGCCAGTCCAGGCAGTTTCACCAGCACAGTGGAGCGTGTTGCTCAAAAGCTCCTTCTGTGTGAAAAGTTCAGTGCTCAGGGCGTTTAAAACAGACCCAGCCAGTCACTTCCATTAATCATCTCCATGTTGAGAAAAAGGCAGTCAGAAAACCCTTGTGACCCACATCACTGCAGGGATGAGCAGCAGCTTCAGCTTTTTTCTCCTGCTTTCAGAGATGGAAAAAACTGTAGATTTGTTGCTGCGAACTCCCTTGGGGATTGGGAATCACCAGCTTCTTGCTTTTCTTTAGATTAAAGACTCCTCAGAAAAAGCAGGATGCTTTCCTTTGTCAGCATTTGTGTCAGATCCTTTTTTTTTTTCCCCCAGTAGCACCTGGGGAACAGGGTTAGGAACGTGGGACTGGAATGTATGGAAAAGGCAAAGGATTGGACCTTGGATACTTGTGCGTCCCATTGTGCTGGGGACCAGTCTGGGATAAAACAACCATCATCTCAGAAACCCACTCTGAGCACTGCTAAACTGGGCAGTATTCAGAAGAGAATAATTTCAATTTAAATTATATGAACTCTCTCTTTTGGCTTTTACATTTATCAGTATGGTCTTGGGTTTTTTTTTTCCTCATGGCTTAACGCTATCTTGACTTCCAAGGCAGAAATGTTGGTTTAAGTGTGGGTTTGTCTGCTCTACCTCTTTATCTTTTTCTTTTCCTGCACTTTGTAGGCATAAATAATCTTGAACTTATCAAATTTGCTGCCCCAGTAGATATTAAATACTTCTAACACGCAGAGCGTGAAGGTTCAGTCACGCAAACGCTGCCTTAGTGGGTAGTGAGTGAATAAAATGTCTAAACTGAGTAATATTCTTCTTACATGCTGACTTCCTTACCCTGCATTTCTTCAGCTTCCATACCAGGCTGTCCTGTATCCATAGTCCTGCTTGATCCTGCTAAAATTGCTGAATCTCTGTGTTTCCAGGCTTGACCTTTGAAAATCCCAAGTTCTCTGGCCGTCTCCATCTCCATACAGCAAAGCTTTTCTTTCTGTGCTTATATAACATTTCAGTTTATTAATACTCTTGGTGCAACGTGATCCTGAGTGGCTCTGGGCTGGGCAGTTTATTGGATTTGCCAGCATAAATAGTGGTGCTTAATTGGGCCTAAATTATTTGTAGGTGCTCCGTGTTCGCTTCCTCCGCCTCTTTTCCGTCTTCCCCAATTAACTTTCGTTTCTCTCTTCTGTTGCAGAGCAAGGAAGTGGGATTGCAGCTCCAGGAAGACTTGATGAAGGTCTTGAATGAACTCTACACGGTAAATCAAACTCCTTGGCATCTTTTCAGGCACAAGGGAAGTGTTTGGGTTCTCCCACCAACACCGATAAACGTCTGCAGTCCCTGCGGTTTGAGGCACCTCGTGTTCACCACCTCCAAAGCACCATAAATCCCACTTTTTCCCTCTGTCCCTGTGTTGTGTGAGCTCTGTGAGTGTTTGCTCCACGAAGATCACACCTTCTCCTTCGCTGCAGTGATGGTTTTAAATTAAGAAGAGTCAGAGAGAGTAGAATTATATCTAAATATGCTAAAACCCTTCAGTTTTGTGTGGTGTGAGCAGACAGAAGGCAGCACAGGGGGAGGGGACCCACTGTGTGTGTTTGTTCCTCAACCCTCAGCAAAGCAGTTCCCCTTAGAGTAATAAGAGTTTTCCATCTGTGCTTTTTTTTGGGTCTCAGTAAATCCACTGGAGGCACCAAGGAAGGAGGAGGGATGTGTTCCTGGGAGTTCATGTGCTGCGTGGGGGTTTTTCTTCTCACATTGATAAATGGGAAATCCTGTTGTTGGACGAGATTTTTGCTCTCTGCAGCTGTTACTGAGCTAGTTCTCTTTTAAAAGCAGAACTTACACGTGGGTTAGTGGCTCAAAATGTCTTTTTATTTTGTGCTTCCTTAATGATACATCGGGTCATGACACGGAGGTACAAGTTCTGTCCTTCCTTCTTTCAGAAGATGATCTGGGGATGTTCCTCAAGCCATGGCACATCAACCCCGTGATGAAATTCAGTAAAAATATCAATGTTACAATATTTCAGGGGTATCCCTGCAATTTCCTACATCAATAAAATGTTCCATTACAATTTGTTACAGTTATAGCATTGAAACCAAATATTCAGTTAATAATAATAATAATAATAATAATAATAATAATAATAATAATAATAATCAGCACTGCCTACTCTAGAAATTGTTTTCTATTTGAGGGCATAATGTGATACAACTTTTGAGTCATGTCCTTGGGTGGGATCTTAGGGAAGAACTCAGCTCTGTTTCTAACCACAGACTTTCAGGAACTGAGATTTCTTTCTAATCCAAGTTGACCTGGCACTGAAGGGGCTGCTTCCTGGAGTTTCATAGATGTGGGTAATAATTTCTGTGTGCCAGGCTCTGACAGGTCATTCAGCCAAATACTGAGTCCTGGTAGTTTCTCTGACCGTGGAAGGAAGATCTTCCAGAATTCAGCCTTTGAAAGACAAAGAATTGTAGGGTATAAACCTTTCTAATGTCTGTGTTAGGAACTTGAAATCTATTTATCCCTTCCTTCCTTCTGCTGCAAAATTTGAAGTTGTCCCTTCACCAGAAAAATTCTTTTCCTTTGAAAAAGCCACTTCTGATCACGTTAAAAGGCCATTTCTTGCTGGACTCAAAACAATCCCAGCAGTGATTAAATTTAGTGCTACTTTCTAGAAATGTTTCCACTTCTTGCTCTGCTGGGTCTCTGGTTTAACTGGACGTGGCACAAGGTGCTGATCAACCCAAGGCTGGGCTTGATGATCTCGGAGGTCTTTTCCAGCCCTAAATCATGTTGTGATTCTGCACCCAAAGCCTTGGCAGGATCCCTGTTTTCAGGCAAAATGGAGATGGGCGAATTCTTTACTTTCCCCGCGCCAACAAAGCACAGAGGGTTGTTACAGCCTGTAATTTTTCCTTGCCCTGAATTGTCCCGTGCCCTCAGCAGACTCCAGTGAGTCACCAGTGACCCCAGCAGCAGACTGGGGTGGGCAGAGCCTGCCAGTGGGATGAAACCATTCCAATCCCCAGTTCTCCTCCTGCTTCTCTTGCTCTCTGCCAGCTCCACTCTCAGTGACAGAGGGAAAAGAAGCCACTTGGAATCTATTATTATAAATGCCTGCTTTATAGTCTGAGCGTATGGGGGAGCTGGGAGTGCGTGTGTGTAAATTATTCAGCACTTCTCTCCAACACTGGCTGCATTCACATTCCCTTTCATGTTTAAATCCAGTGTCTCTTTGTAGCTGGGAACCTTTGCTGATCACTGCAGAGGCAGAGCTTGCGTCCTACTTACGTAAAACCGTGTCATGTTATGGTGCAAAACAGGTATAAACAGATTTTCCTCTGAAATAAAGACCCCACTTGCATAAAAAAATTGATTTATTTGGGGTGACATTTTGCAACTGTGCTTTTTTTTTTTTTTTTGCCCCCTCTACGAGAGTTACATCATGATGTTTGTTTTGGTGTGTGCTTCAAATTGCTTTGCATTTCTGGATAAAAAACTAGTTTATGTATCATGCCCTTTGGTTTTTTTAGTTCTTTTTTTCTCAACACAAAGCTAGACATTAATATCCTGTGAAACAAATGGGTTTTTTGTGACTTTGGGGGATATTTATCTATACTTAATTATAAAAAATGTGCTATAATAAAAGTTGTCCATATAGTACAGGGTCCAGGTCTCCCTAAACAAAAGAACAACACTCTTTTATTAATATTTTTTATTACATAAGGTCAACAGAAGTACTTTTAAGTACCAAATTTGATATAAACAAGTGGAACCTGAGTTGCTTTTGCAGCCATTGTGTTCAGACATGATTTACATACAGTTCCTGGAGACTTGTGATGTTTAAAGGACTGATTCATCCAGATGAAAGACTGATAGGCATCCCTTTGGAAAACTTACCTGCTGATGAAAAGCTCTCATTTTCCAACGCTGGCATATCATTTCCTTTGAACAGTAAAGGAGGCTGGATTGAGTCTGGATCTTTCTTTGGATCTCATGCCTCCTTTATTGGATTGTACAAGAAGGCACATGCCAAAGTTTAAAAACAAAAGAAACAGCTGCAAAATAATCCACTTTGATTGCAGATTCATTTTGAGAGCCACACTCGTTCGTGGCATCTTCTGAGAGGGGAGGTTTCCCCCGAGTTATTTTCCCATGTTGGATTATTTGAAGTTTAACAACCTTGCTGGGCTCTCGTCCTTCCTGCAGGTGATGAAAACCTACCACATGTACAACGCTGACAGCATCAGCGCCCAGAGCAAGCTGAAGGAGGCCGAGAAGCAGGAGGAGAAGCAGATTGGGAAGTCAGTGAAACAGGAGGACAAGCAGACCCCGCGCTCCCCCGACTCAACCTCCAACGTCAAGTTCGAGGAGAAACACGTCCGGCGGAGCTCCGTCAAAAAAATAGAGAAAATGAAGGAGAAGGTACTTGCCTGGCAGTGCTGCTGCTTGTGCAGAGGGGATTTTTGCAGTAGATCAGCACGGGAGATACAGAGTTCCCTCCTCAACTGCAGAATCTCTTTTTTTTTTGCCATTTTAAATGCTCAGATTAAGGAAAGGCCAAAGCTTGCACCGAGCGTCCTTTAGGACAATCCAGTGTGCATTTTGTGTTGACACAGGTAATGCAGGCGTGGCACAAAAACCTAAAACAGAGTGTAAAAGTAACAATTACCTTCTTGGAAGTTCTGTTTAATCTGTATTTTTCTTGTACAAGGCACAAGGCCTGTGATAGGAGGGAGTCAAGTTATCCCAGACTGGCTTTGTGGGCAGAGCCAGTTGCCTCAGTAATCAGTCAGCTTTAAGCCAGTCTAAGGTTAGTTAGTCACTAATTGGCCAGTTCAGCTCTAAATTCAAGCCAATAGGAAGGAGAAGAGTTATTTTTTAATGGTTTTAGACTCTGGAAGGACCAAGTTCAAGCCTAGCTTCTGTTGGAGGAGGTGGGGTGCCTGCAGCAGCCCTCAAACTACCTGTGGTCTTCTGGTAGTGCTGGAGCTGGACCATAAATAACCTCATAAAACCCACCTTGTTCCTTCATTCTCTCCTTAGTCTTCCCCAGCCCACAGCCTCAAGGGAAGACTTTCAATCCAGAGCTGCCTAGTACAGTAATGCTTAAAAACATCTAAATAATTAATCTGCATTTCAAGTCTTGGGAGTCTTGGTAAAACTGGAATTCAAATGGACAAAATCTGTGTGAGCAGAGCAGGGTTTGTTCAGTATTCTAAATGCTGCTACACCTCTTTTAATGCTGTATTCTCTTTTTCTTTCTCTTCCAGCGCCAAGCAAAGTACACAGAGAACAGGCTGAAGGCAATTAAGGCAAGGAATGAGTATCTGCTGGCCCTGGAAGCCACCAATGCCTCAGTGTTCAAGTATTACATCCATGACCTGTCTGATCTCATTGATGTAAGTGCTGCTGCTCGGGGGCCTGCACTGGGTGTCACTGCCACGAGCCCTCACACCTTCCCCTCCTCCTTCAGCATCTTCTGCACCAGCACAGCTGGAAACCTCTGCACAGCTGTGCAGGGACAGGCTCGGATGGGCAGCTTGGAGGGTGGCCACAACCCTGGTATTTGTTCATGGAGCTGTGACATGAGCTTTTCTTAGGTGGCCAACTCGGTTCGTTGCACAGGGAGACGAGAAACGTGGCTCTGAAAAGGAAAGGGAGTTGCTTAGTTAAAATGAAACCCAGCTTTGGTGTCACACTGTTGCCTGACATTTTCTGTTTGCTATTTTAAGCAAACCCGCAAGATTTTAGCTCTGAAGCACATTTTGAAAGGAGATTTTGAACTGTAGAAACAGCAGAAGAAATTTGGGAAAAGAAATGGGAGTTCTGAAGCATTTCCTGAAGTTGCTTTTCACTTGTTTTGAAAAATTCAGAGAACCATAGGATATCCTGAGTTGGGAGGAACCCACAAGGATCATCCAGTCCAACTCCTGGGCAGGACACCCCAAAATCCCACCCTGTGCCTGAGAGCATTGTCCAAACACTCCTTGAGCTCTGGCAGGTTTAAGTGCCCTGGGGAGCCTGTTCAGTGCCCAGCCACCCCCTGGGGGAAGAACCTTTTCCTAATATCCACCTGAACCCTCCCTGACACAGCTCCAGCTTGTGTCCTGTCCTCCCTTGTGTCCTATCACTGCTCACAGAGGGAATATATTCCAAACCCTGCAGTATTCAGTGGGAATCAATTCTGCTTTTGGTAAAACTCACAACAACAAAAAACCCCCAAATCTCTGCTCTTTGAAAACTCGGGAAAGCCAACTGGGAATCCTGAGTTACTCACAGGGATGTGACTCCCCCCTTCAGGCTGCAGAACTCAAACTGTGTCTGGGTCACTGCCTCGTGCTGGGTCCAGTTCCCTTTCCAAGCCCATCCCGGTGCCGTCACCGCTGGAAACACTCGGCTGCAAAGCCTGGAGGGAGCTGCAGCAGGAGCAGGGAGTAATGAACACAAGTGTCTCTAGACATAGGCAATAAAGAGCACTCAGAGCACTATTAATTACTCAGCTATTATAATAACTACCAGTCTATATAATACATTTATTCAGCTGATGATAAACTCGCCTGGAGTGCTCTTGTGCCAGGTGTTGATTTAAACCTGTCCTTTGGAGGTCAGGGCTGTCAATGAGAGTGGGCTTGAAAAATACTGTTATTTCCAAATGTCATGATTTGCAGAATTGCTGCACTGAAGAGGCCTGGGTTGTTTATCCCTGCTGCCTTTTTAGGAGACCTGTTTTGGTTAACGTTTGCTCAACCTTAATTGTGCGGTCTTGGGGTTTTTTTTTTTACTAATGATAACTTCTTGTACGTGTTTATGTTGAAAAGTTGGTTGGGATTCACTTCCCTGCCATCAGCCTAATTCAGTTATCTCAGTTTTTACTTCTACAACCCATCTATAAGTCCTCCCCCATGAGCTGCATGTGTGCTTGGTTCATTTGTCTGCCCAGTGGATTTTCATGAGTCAGATATAGTGAAGAATCCTTTTGGATTTCATAAGCCCAAAGCAGCTTCTAAGCACGGACCTGAGATGTTTTAAGCAGGACATGACAAATCTGGGTTATCCAGCTTGGAAAGAAGTGCTTCTCTCACAGTCCCAGCTGTCTCTGGGCCATGGCAGGCAGTGCTGCAAGACAAGGAGCCAAACTCCAGCATTCCAGGGATTTGTCACTGTTCCTAGAGAGGAGCCATCATGGCTCTGGGTGAGTCCATGCCTGTGTTAACCCCCTTCAAGCATTCAGTTTAATACTACATTACAAGTTTTCATAATCTTTAAAATAAAAGTATTATCTGTTCTGTTTTCAGGCATGGAAAAATGTGGGACTTGTCTGGGAGCACAGGAGATGGAGCTCAGTTATCTCATTGTCAAGGCACAGGGAATATAGATTTATTAATGCCTTTGATCCTGAAGGATTGAAAATTAACAATTATAACCAGTGATGGTTATCTGAACCGTCTGAATTAAATAAAAATGTGATTTTTAAGCCAGGCTGTAATGCTTTCCCTCAATCTAATCATTTGATCATATTGAATTTTGAAATATAATATAAAAGTAATCTTCAAAGTTACTTACAAGTAGATTGTGTTAGACCCAACAGCATTAAACTTGTCATGTTTATGCAGCACATTGTGTTCCCTCTCCAGTTGCAGGGAAGGATAACAGGGAGTTAATTCTTCATTGAGAGTTAAGAACAATAAATTGTTCCTGACATAGCCCAGTAGTTTTGAATTTCCTGACTTTGGGGACTGAGGCAGCTCTTTGATGCTAATGAAATATTACAGTAATGGGGAAGTTTGCATTAACTCATATTTATAAAAGGGTCACTAGGACAGGATTTAAAAAAAAAAAAAGGTAAAAATGTGTGTGTGAGTGACTCACAGAGCTTACTTTACTCTTCTAGGAATAGATATTCCATTGCTTTTTGCTCCAGGATCCCATCCTTTCCCTTCCAAATGTAAATTGCATTTTAAAACAAAGGGCTTTTTCTCCTCAAATCTTCGGGTTTGGGTCTGTTTGAAAACTGCTAACTGGCAAAGGGTTAATCAGCTGTCATGTCGGGAAGGGAATTTGAATGAGTTATCATTAAATTCTTATAAAAAATTGATTTCCTTTGAGAATGATTCCATCAAACATTTATATAACCCAGAAAAGGGACGGCGGGACTGGTACGTTTATAAACACGGAACGCTGGACTTTAAAAACCTTTCTTAAAAACCTTTTAAAAACCAGTGGGGGAGTGGGCTGGGAAGTGTTTTCTGTCACTGGCTTCAGCAGCAGAAAGCCAAAACACTTTGCTTCGAGGTGGGTGTGACAAATTAACTGCCCTTGGACCTCCCAGTTCCCCCAGTGCTCTCCCCTCCCGTGGCAGCTCCACTTTCCTTCTGGACGTGGATGTGACTGGAGAAAGGGAGCACTGGGAGGACAAAGTGGTCACACTGGGAGGAATTGTGTCCAGTTCTGGTCTCCACAGTTGAAGAAAGACCAGGAGCTACTGGAGAGGCTCCAGCAGAGAGACCATAAAGATGATGAGGGGTCTGGAGCATCTCTCTGATGAGGAGAGGCTGTGGGAGCTGGGCCTGGTTAGTCTGGAGAAGGGAAGATGGAGAAATGCTTCCAAGGGGTGTTGGGATGGTGCCAGGTCTGTTCAGTGGTGCCCAGTGACAGGACAAGGAGTGGTGGCCATAAACTAAAAGAGAAGTTCTACCTCAGCATGAGGAAGAACTTCTTTCCATGGAGGTGGCAGAGCTCTGGAACAGCTGCCCAGGGAGGGTGTGGAGCCTCTCTCTCTCTCTCTGGAGACATCCCAAACCCACCTGGATGAGTTTCTGTGTCACCTGCTCCAGAAGTGGGTGATCTGGGTGATCTCCAGAAGTCCCTTCCAGCCCCAACTTACTCTGTGATTCTGAGAAAAGGAGGGAGTGCTGCTGTTAAACCTGAGCTGATCCCAATCCTGGCTGCAGCACTGGCCCAACTCTGCCTTTCCCCCCTCCATGACTGCAGGGAATCACTGCAGTGTGTGTGCACTGAGCAGTAGCTGTGAGTGGCTCTTGATCCAAGGCTGCCTCCACACGTGCAGATTCTCAATCAGGCCTCTTTTGTTTTTGGTGTTTGTTTTTTTTTTCTTTTTCTTTTTTTTTTTTATTCTTGGCTGGTTTTGTTCTTTCTGATTGAATGTGAAGTCCTTTAATTCTCTGCCTCCAGCCCAAACCAGCAACTGCAGCTCTTTTTACAAGACTCCCCACCTGCCACAGCTTGTTGGCACAAGAACCAGGCATCCAGCAGCACCCGGTGGCAGAAATTCTGTGAAAGCAGGGAATGGTCCAGTAGCCTCTCTCTTCCCTCTCCCCCCACCCCTCCTCCTCTTTTTTTCCCCTTTTTTTCCTTTGCTTTTGCACACAATGACAGTGATGAGATCCAAATGATGGGCGAGGAGGAGATTTCATGTGAATTTTGCTTACAGAGCAGCACAGTAATCAACCAGATGGTCCCTTTCTTTCTTTCTTTTTGGATATTCTCCTAGTGTATGTAATCTTGCTTGTAATTCCAAGAAGGTGGGCTCCTTCTTGCTCACTTAATTCGATGGCTGAAAAAAATCCAGGCTGTTTCTGATCAGTTAATGAAAAAGTGCCTTTTTCCCCTTCTGAAACATGAAAACTTGGCTCTGCAGCCCTGGTGGAGATGAAGCTGCTTGATTGTATCCCAGTGACATCACCCTGGTGTCAGCCATAGCCAGGAAATTCTTGACCATAACCACTTTCTGCTTCAAAGTTTTTTTTTTGCTCCTCTGTTTCACCCCAGCAGTGAAATCATCCCAAGCAAAGGCTGCTTGGCTTTTGGATGACTCTGTTCTCATGCCTGGGATGTCCAGGTCATGTTCCTCCTTCCTGAAGTGCACTGAATAAAGCAGCTTTCCGTGTTTTGGGTGGAATTATCTAGATGCAGATGAACTTTTATACGTGATCCAAATCCCGTGTCTTGTTTCGCCAGTAGTGCCTTGTTTTCCTCTTCCTTTGAATAATGTTATTTAAGGATTTTGGAGTGTGTTTATAGGAATCAGGGCCCCTAAAAGTGAGGTTAGTGTGTTCATGCTGTTGAACACACCCACTTCTAGGTTGCTTTTTTCTACCAGCATGAAATGAATATCTAATGAATATCTAATACTCCACAAAAACTCCACAAACTGTTATAATAGTTTAAGCTGTGCTTGTCTTGGTTATTAATTATAACACAGTGCTAAAATTTGTGTGGGATTATAGGTTGGGGTTCTCTAAGGACCTTGGGCAAGATGCTTCTGCACTGAGTGAGGGATGTGGGACCACTCTGGTACCCAGAAGATGCCAAAATAACCACAACTTGTTATCCACTTAGAATCACAGAATCAGCCGGGTTGGAAAAGACCTCTGAGATCAAGTCCAACTTTAATTTTTCAGCCTTGCCTGCTCTTAAAGCAACCTCATGTCAGCAGCCAAACAGAGGTCTTAAAGACTGAGATATTGGATCATTTCCATGGGGAGAATCCCTCAATCCAGATCAGGGGGCACAAGGAATGGGCTCATCCCCAGCAGAGGCTCTGAAGCTGAAAATAGATGCAGAAGGGAAGTTTGCTGGTGATCAGTGTTAGGCAGAATATCTTAGTTTTGAAGATATTGTTCAGGAGGAATTCTACAACTCTATAAAGCAAAAAGTTCCTCCTTTAAAATTAAGAGCAGCACAGATTTGGTATAGGTTTGTCTTGGATAACTACAGGCAGAATATGAAGTGTCTGACAAGGGAACATGTCCTTAATTCACCTAGAAAAACTATTAAAGAGAGATGTTTGCCTTTAGACTGTATATAAAAGGCTTCCTGCATTAAAAGAGGTAAATTTCCCCAGCTCTAAATTAGAGCTATTTGAAACATTTTCCACAGAAGAGTTCTCTGTTGAAAATGCAGTTT